GTGTGTGTGTGTGTGTGTTGTGTGTGTGTGTGTGTGTGTGTGTGTGTGTGTGTGTGTGTGTCTGTTTTGTGTTACCAAGGACAAAGCGAGTGTCGGGGGTTAGACGCGTTGGGAGGGAAGGGAGGGGAGAGAGGGAGAGGGAGGGAGAGAGGAGAGGGAGGGAAGAGGGAGAGGAGGGAAGAGGGAGAGGAGGGAAGAGGGAGAGGGAGGGGGAGAGGAGAGGAGGGAGAGGGAGAGGGAGAGGGAGAGGAGGGGAAGAGGGAGAGGGAGGGAAGAGGGAGAGGGAGGGAGAGGGAGGGAGGGGGGGGAGGGAGAGAGGGAGGAAGAGGAGAGAGGGAGGGAGGGAGAGGGGAGAGGAGAGAGGGAGAGGGAGAGGGGAGGGAGGGGAGGGGGAGAGGGAGAGGGGGGAGGAGGGGGGAGAGGAGAAGGAGGGGGAGAGGAGAAGGAGGAGAGGGAAGGAGGGGGGAGGGAGAGAGAGAGGAAGAGAGGAAGAGAGGAAGAGAGGAAGAGAGGAAGAGAGTAGGAAAAGAGGGAAAAGAGGAAAAGAGGAAAGAGAGAGCGAGAGAGAGAGAGAGAGAGAGAGAGAGAGAGAGAGAGAGGAGAGAGAGAGAGAGAGAGAGAGAGAGAGAGAGAGAGAGAGAAGAGAGAGAGAGAGAGAGCGAGTGAGAGTGAGTGAGTTTGAGTGTGAGTGCGAGGGTGAATGTGAATGTAAGTGTATGGTCGTTTGTGTGCGTGCATTAGGCAGCAACCTCTAGCACACCGCCAAGAGCAATCAGAAGAAAATAAAACACTTTCTTGAAGGCAATAACTACACGGATCCTATTTCATATCAATATTACTAGTGCTGTAATATTTCCACGTGGAACAAACGTATAAAACATGTACTATCTACGTTCATTTTTATCCGCTTAATCGCATGAAAATATCGTTCAGAAGATCTAGTGGAATAGAACGAAAAACAAAATGATTTTATCTTCTAGATTTTTTTTTTTTTTTTTGCTTATGAATTTGATTTTTTTATTTTTATTTTATTATTATATTATTATTATTTTTTTTATTTTTTTTATTATTATTATTATTTTTTTTGCTTATGAACTTTGATAGCTGAAAGTTGTATGTTCAATCTTTTGTTCCGTTGCAGTAACTGTAGATTACGGCAGACTCCGTGTACGAGAATGCCCTAAATTGGTCGTTATTTCGCAAAATCATCTCCCTTACCCCGAGATGAAATAATGAACTTAATTTACTCCTTGATTTCCAGGATCCCACCACGACCCTTAGCTTTCAAAACATCGCCTTAGTCTTTGGTTCTCAAGACGATCTCACTTCACTCTCGGTTTCCAAGACGTCACCGTGCCTCTTAGTTCTCGATGCCACTTACCCCTTAATAAAGAAGAAAAGAAGGAAAAAGAATAAGAAAAAGAAAAAGAAGAAAAAAGAAAAAGAAAGAAAATAAAAGAAAAAGAAAAAGAAAAAAATAATAATAGTAATAAAAAAAACAAACTGTTAGTTTACGAGACTCTGCCTTATTTTTTCGTCCCTAAGATGACCTCACTTCACTCTTTCTCTCTTCCAAGACGACCTTCCTTTAGCCCGTAGTTCACAAGACGACCTCGCCTTTTTTCTTTCTTAGGACGACCTCACTTCACTCCTTAGTAGTTATCGAAACGACCTCTTTACCCCATAATTTCCCTGTTCCGACTGTACTTACTGCATTTAGTCTCCTGGACTCTATCTCACTTATTTATCTTATTTATTCATTTATCTTACTTATTTATACTTATTTATTTATCTTACTTATTTGTTTTATTTATACTTATTTATTTATCTTACTTATTTGTCTTATTTATCTTATTTATACTTAGTTATTTATCTTATTTATTTATTTTACCTATACTTAGTTATTTACCTTACTTATACTTAGTTATTTATCTTACTTATACTTAGTTATTTATCTTACCTATACTTAGTTATTTATCTTACTTATTTATTTATCTTACTTATTTATACTTATTTATCTTACTTATTTATACTAATTATTTATCTTACTTAATTGTCCTTATCTATACTTATTTATACTTACTTATTTATACTTACTTAATTATACTTATTTATACTTACTTATATATACTTAATTATACTTACTTATTTATACTTACTTATTTATACTTATTTATCCTACTTATTTATTTATCTTACTTATTATAACGTCCACACCACGTTGACCGGAGCGCACAGTACCCGCCCGTCCTTCTCCTCCGGTGAAGCTGTCTCCCGGAATCGATTCCCATTCCCGACCCACCTGTCTGTCGCTCGCTGATCCAGTCATCCGCCAGTCAGTCTATGTCCCCCGTCGTTCGGTCTAGAGCCTCCTGTGTCTTCTCTAATCCGGATCCATTAGTCTTACAGCATATTTAAGTCGGGGCCGCCGTTCAGTCACCGATGGCAGAATATCGGTGGTTCCTTTGGGTTGTCAGTCATTTTGGACGGGTCAGGTCCGGGGCTGGAAAGGTGATGTCTTGCTCAAAGGTTGTCTCGAGTGTCTTTTTTCTCTTGTCTTCTTCTCTTTTCTCTTGTCTTCTGCTCTTTTCTTTTGTCTTGTCTTTTTCTCTTTTCTTTTCTTCTTCTCTTCCCTTCCTTCTCTTTTCATAGTTTCTCTCTTTCTCTCTCCTCTCTTCTTCTTTCTTTTCTTCTCTTCTCTTCTCTCTTCTCTCTCTTCTCTCTTCTCTCTTCTCTCTTCTCTCTTCTCTCTCTCTCTCTCTCTCTCTCTCTCTCTCTCTCTCTCTCTCTCTCTCTCTCTCTCTCTCTCTCTCTCTCTCTCTCTCTCTCTCCCTCTCTCTCTCTCTCTCTCTCTCCCTCTCTCCCTCCCTCCCTCCTTCTTTCTTTGTTTTCCCTTTCTCTCGCTCTTCCTCTCCATTTTCGCATTTTACCCCTCCTTTCCCTCTCTCTTTGTCTTTCTCCTTCTGCAATTGTGTTTCCCCAAAGCCCCGGATCTGTCATCAGTAGAAACGGCAATGGAATAAGAACAGAAGACTACGAAACGAAACGAAATAAGCGAAGATGAAAGAGGAATCATCCGAAACTGCTGGACTTAATACAAACTCAATTAAAACTAGAATTCGCTTTTCCGTCCCTCTCTCTCTCTATCACTCGAATGAACAAATTGGCGACTCAACAGTGCAATAAAGGTTTGCAACAGGTTTTGGAGGCACTCTGATCCTCGCCGGGAAAACTGGATTGTGTTGTAGGATTTAAGGATGAAAGCAGGATGTAAAGTTATGCACACTTTTTTTTTTTTTTTTTTTGGGGGGGGGGAGGGTTGAAAGTTCTTGGATGTTAAAAGCTGCTCTGAGAAAAATTACTGTTATGCTCTACTGCATACGCACACACGCACGCAGACACGTACACACACGCATACGCACACGCAGACACGTACACAGACGTACATACACGCACACGTACACACACACATACACACACGCAGACATGTACACACACGCAGACACGTACACACACGCACACAAGCACACACACTCGTTTTCATTCTCACACTCACACTATCTCTCTCTCTCTCTCTCTCTCTCTCTCTCTCACACTCTCTCACACTCACACACACACACACACACACACACTCACACACACACACACACACACACACACACACACACACTCCCTACCTCCCTCCCTCTCTCGTTCTACCATAAATCTAGTCCTAAAAAATATATAAATCAAACAAATTTTTGCATTTTGAAATGAAATAAAAACAGCCCGTCACTCTCCTGATGCAAGCCAGGCGGAAACGGCTTTTAATTCCCGAAAAGGCAGCCGAAGAAAGCCGAAAACGAAGACAAAACGGTTCTCCATATTCCGCGCCCCGGGGTTGCCATGGCGACTGCGCGGAGACACCTCAGTCTCGGTCTCACTCTCGGCCTCAACCTCAATCTTCAGCCTCAAACCTCGGCCTCAAATCTCAACCTCAAGCCTCTGATCACTCTCAACTTCAAGCTCAACCTTAGCCTCAAGCTCAAGCTTATCCGTATCCTCGACCTCTTCATCCTCAACCTTAAACGTATCCCCATCCCCATCTTCAACCAATCCTCATCCTTATCCTCAACCTCAATCCTTCCCTCAGCCTTCGCCTCATCCTCAACCCTCATCCTCATACTAACCTCATCTCATCCTTATCCTCATCTCCTCACCCTCACCCTCACCCTCACCCTCCGCCCGCCCGCCCGCCCAACCTAATCCTGCTGACGCGCGCTTTTCCCCCCAGCGTCGAGGGGGAGGGGAGGGGAGGGAGGGAGTGGAGGGTCGAGCCGGAAGCAAAGCAAATAACGAACCGCATCGAAGCTTCAGTGGATTTCAGCCTTTTGTACTTCCTCGAGACCGCAAGGAAGGCGTGTCTGGATGGAGGAGAACGATTTGGTAATAATTTGCCGGAAATTAAAAGAAAAAAAGGGGAAAAGGGCAGTGGAAGGGAGAGATGAAGGGATGGGGAGACGGGGCCAGGGCGGGTTCGAAACGGGTTTGGGAGTTGTGAAGGGATGTCGGAGGCTGGGAGGTTGGGAGGTTGGTTGTGTCGTGTGTGTGAATGAGAATGAATACGGTTATAATGTAAAATATGAAGCTGATTTTTTTTATTTTTTTTTATTTATTTTTTTCTTTATGGGAAGTATGAAGCTGATTTTTTTTTCTTTATTTGCAGTTGTCATGATACGAAATATGAAATGAATATTTTTTGAATATCAGTTGTCAGAATTACATGATCTAGATGCAAAGCGTCAATTACGTATAGTATATTTATCAATCTTCATTCATACTTTTTTCCCTTTGTTTATTTATCTATTTTGTTTTCCCTTTTTCTTTTATTTATTTATTTATTTATTTTCTGTTCCAAGCACATATTTTTTCCTTTTATTTATTTATTTATTTATTTATTTTTTAAATTCCAAGCACATTATAATAAATTGGTCTTCTAATCCATCCCTTTTCACCCCCAGTCCTGCGAGAACCTCGTGAGCAGCGATGCAGAGAGCACCACAGGAGACCGAGGAGGAGGAGGCGGGGGCGGAGGAGGAGGAGGAGGAGGAGCCGGGATGACGGGCGTGGGGCCCCTGGACACCTCGAAGGAACCCGAAGTCCTCACGCAGCAGCAGATCGACGAGTACCTCTACAGACACGAACAGGGTGGGTCGCCGGGCACCTCTCGCTCCCGGGGGACACTTGGCTCCCATTTATTCAATACACTTATTTATTTGTCACTCTATTCATTCGTTAAATATATTTATCCATCTTCCTTACTTATCTATCTATTTATCTCTCTCTATTCCTTCGTCTTTCACCACCGCCTCGTCCCCCCCTTCACTATCACTCTATTCATTCGTTGAATATATTTATCCATCTACCTTACTTATCTATCTATTACACCTATTTATTTATCACTCTATTCATGCGTTGAATATATTTATCCATCTACCTTACTTATCTATCTATTTATCTATCTTTATTCCTTTCGTCTTTTACCACCGCCTCGCCCCCCCCTTCCTATCACTCTATTCATTCGTTGAATATATTTATCCATCTACCTTACTTATCTATCTCTTTATCTATCTCTATTCCTTCGTCTTTCACCACCGCCTCATCCCCCCCTTCCTATCACTCTATTCATTCTATTCATCTACCTTACTTATCTATCTATTACACCTATTTATTTATCACTCTATTCCATTCGTCGAATATATTTATCCATCTACCTTACTTATCTATCTACTTATCTATCTCTATTCCTTCAATTTTCACCACCGCCCCTCTCCTTCCTCTTCCTCCCGCAGGTGTAGACCACGCCCTCCACCGCGCCAAGGTCTGGAGCAAGTACGCGAAGGACGTGATCTCCTACATTGAGAAACGCGCCCAGCTGGACATGGAATACTCCAGGAATCTCACCAAGCTGGCTCACACCATCAGGCCGGCGCTCAAGGAGGAGGTCAGTCGCTGTTTTTGTGTCTGTCTGTTTGTTTGTATCTGTTTGTTTGTGTTTGTGTCTGTGTTTGTGTCTGGCTCTGGTTCTGGCTCTCTCTCTGTTTCTGATTCTGATTCTGTTTCTGTTTCTGTTTCTGTTTCTGTCTCTCTCTTGTCTCTTGTCTCTCTGTCTCTGTCTCTCTCTCTCTCTCTCTCTTTCTCTCTCCTACCCTTCCTCCATCCCCCTCTCCCTCTTCCCCCTCTCCCTCTCCCTCTCCCACTCGACCCTTCATCTTTAGCGTAATTTTTGCACCAACATAAATTTCCTCCCCCTCCCCCTCCCTCTCCCTCGCCCCCACTCCCCCCCCCCCCCCACACCCCGCTCAAGGGCTCTTCTTTGCTCCTTCTTCTTCAGAAGTAAAGTCACAAAGAAAAAAAGAAGTGAAGAGAACTGTCGGTGATATTTTTTTTTCCTGAAGAGAGACTTTGCATAGCTAATTGTTGGGCATTTCACTTTTTTATATTTCCTGATGTATATATATATATATTATATATATATATATATATATATATATATATATATATATATATATATATATATTTATATTTATATATATATATATATATATATTGTGTTGGTTTGAATTTCATATGTTTATTTTTATTTTTATTACAGCATGTTATTTTTTTCACTATTACTTGAAATATCTTCCCTGTTTTTTTTATCATTATTTGAGCAGTGTTGTCTACCTTCGTAGTCACAATTCCTGATTTTCAGAAACGTTTTTTTTTTTTTCAATTTTTGTCATAATTTTCATTTTCGTTTTCTCTCGTTTTACCTTAAATTTTGAATGTTTTTTTTTTCGTTCGTATTCATTTTTTTACTGCTAAAAATCATGATACCAAAATGATTCACTGAAAAAAACGGAACAGAATGTTAACAAAGATAAGCATTACACAAAGATAACATGGTATCAGCGTTGGTAATGATATGAATATGACTAATGGCAAAAGGTGGCGATGATATTAATGTCTTTGGTGATAAAGTGACGATAGAGAGAATACTGATAAGAATGATAATGACATTTGATAGGAATGGGGTTGTAATGATTATGATGTTAATGCCAAGGGTTATACTGGTTCGAATGCTATACAGAGTATGTTGATAGTAATGATGATAATATAATGATGATAAACGTGGTGACGTTAATAGTGATGGTTTAAATAGTAATTATTATAATGATAAAAGTAATGATAATAACTAGGATGATAATAATGTAGTAGTAACAACAACAATGATAATGATGATAGCGATAATGATGATTATTATTATTGTTAGTATTATTTCAATGATAGGTATGACTGTGATGGTAATAATTATGATAACAGCTTGGGTGATAATTACACCTATTATGAATATGATAATGATAATTGTGATGATGATAATGAAGATGGTGATAATGATAATAACAATCAAAACAGTAATAACAATAATTGTATTGAACGCTAATAATTGGCAATGATAAAGATTTTGGCAACAATAATAATAATGACAAATATCAATGATAATAATAAAAATAATGCTGATGATAGTATCAATATTTATACATGATAAAAAGGAAGGTAAAGAGAATAATGAAGATATTAAGAATGATCATTATTGTAGCAACAATAGAGATTATGATAACGAATCTATCATTGCTATTGCTAATGACAATGATAATAGGAGTATTCATAGGAAGAATTATTACAATATCAAGAGCCACATTTCTGGTAGGATGTGTCACACTTTTATTTAGAAAAAAATAATAGAAGAATTTATTAACTGTATATAAACTCCTTTGATTAATGTAGGTGTTTTACTTCTTAGACACCTCTTAATAAGGAATTTATAGAGTCTGAATTTGGATAAAATACAATATTGAAATGATATGCATTTCATAGTTAGCAGGCGAACTGAATTGTAATTATAAGGTTATCAAAAGTACAGAAAATATTCAGCAACATATATCGTTTTAGATTTATACAAATGGAATATTAATTAGATGTCGATGAAATTAGAATATGACAGCTGCCGAGAATCAATTTATTCGGTATGATAAACTGCAAATCCCTGAGTTCACTAAAATCTCCGACGCTGCACAAAAATACGTTGGCAATTCCCAGCTTTTTTTAACATTTGATACATATTATGGTTATAAATTTACGAAATGAATATTGAAACTAACTATTTCATATGAATATTGTAAATCAAGTATTTCACCATCAATTTTGGAACTAAATTCATTGCTATCAGCACGAAATCATTCAAAACATTTTTTTTTCTTTCGGGAAAAGGGACAGACATCGATAAAGAACGTTAACAAAAACAAAGAAGGAAGAAGAAGAGGAGGAAAAGGAGGAGGAGGAAAAGGAGGAGAAGGAAGAGGAGGAGAAAGAGGAAGAGGAGGATGAGGATGAGGATGAGAAGGAAGAGGAAGAGGAGGAGAAGGATGATGATGATGAGGAGGATGAAGAGGAGAAGGAGGAGGATGAAGGGGAGGAGAAGGAGGAGGATGAAGAGGAGAAGGAGGAGGATGACGAGGAGGAGGAGAAGGAGGAAGAAGAAGAGGAGAAGGAAGAGGAGGAGGAGGAGGAGTAGAAGAAGAAGAAGAAGAAGAAGAAGAAGAAGAAGAAAAAGAAAGAAAAAGAAAAAGAAAAAGAAAAAGAAAAAGAAAAAGAAAAAAAAAGAAAAAAGGAAAAGAAGAAAGAAAAGAAGAAGAAGAAAGACCTAACTTGACCTCCCCTCTCAATCGTAAGCGTTATCTCTCGGAAAACGTAAACATACAGATACAGAACATTGAAAAAGACGAAACAATTAGAAAAAGGTACTTCACTTTAAAAATAATAATAATAATTAGAAAAAGGGACAACTTATAAAAAATGAAATAATTAGATAAAAAAAGGACTTGACTTAAAAAAGACGAAATGATTAGAAAAAAGGAACTTCACTTAAAAAAAAGATAAAAGAAATAATTAAAAAAAGACAGCTTAAAAAAATATATATAATTAAAAAAGGGACATCACTTTAAAAAATATATATAATAAAAAAAAGGGACATCACTTTAAAAAAATGAAATAATAAAAAAAAGACTTGACTACCCCCCTCGCCCCCTTTTTTAGCTGACATCTCCCCCAAAACCCGGTGTTTGGTGGAGCTTCTGACGTTATAGATGTCAGCGCGTCAGCCCATGGAACGGGTGAGGCTGACCCTGATGGGCGTGTCATGAAGGCGTATTGGTCGTATGTGTCTCGGGAAATTGCTGTTCCTCCCTGCTGTTGTTTTTCTGTTTTTTTCTGTCTTTTCTTTATCTTTTGGAAGTCTTTTGTTTTCCTTGTAATTTTTTTTCTTTTCTTTTTTGTCTTTCTTTTTCTTTTCTTCTTTTATTTTTTGTCTTTATTTTTCTTTTTCTTTCTTATTTCTTTTTTCAAGTGTTTATTTTCCTTTTCTTTTTCTTTCTTTTCTTTGTCTTTCTTTTTCTTTTCCTTCTCTTTTCTTTTTTTTAAGTCATTCTTTTTCTTTTTCTTCTCTTCTTTTTTTCAAGTCTTTCTTTTTCCTTTTCTCTGTCTCTTTTTTTTCTTTCTCTTTTCTTTGTCTTTCTTTTCTTTTTCTTTCTCTTCTTTTCTTTGTCTTTCTTTTCCTTTTCTTTCTCTTCTTTTCCTTTTCTTTCCTTTCGATCTCTGTTTTTTCTTTCTTTTCTTTAAGTCTTTCTTTTCCTTTTCTTTCCCCTCTTTTCTTTAAGTCTTTCTTTTCGTTTTCTTTCTACTCTTTTCTTCGTCCTTATTTTTCCTTTTCTCTTTTAAGTCGTTTTCATTTTTTTTACCTGGGACCTTATCATCTCGGGGTATTGGCGACCTTACCTGTGGGTGGCGTCACTCGAGGGCACCTTGGGCTGGGTCGCCGGGTCGCTTCTCTGGGGCCGCCTTCGTCTGTCTGTCTCTCTGTCTGTCTGTCTGTCTGTCTGTCTATTTAACGATATGAGCGTGTGTTTTGTTGTTGTGGTGTGTGGTGTGTGTGTTGTGTGTGTTGTTGTGTTTGTTTGTGTGGTATGTGTGTGTGTGTGTTTGTTTGTGTGGTGTGTGTGTGTGTGTGTTGTGTGTGTGTGTGTGTGTGTGTGTGTGTGTGTGTGTGGTGTGTGTGTGTGTGTGTGTGTGTGTGTGTGTGGTGGTTGTGTGGTGTGTGTGTGTGGTGTATGTATATGCGTATAGATATGTGTGTGAATAATAATGGATAGATGTATATACTAATTTATATATATATATATATATATATATATATATATATATATATATTATATATATATATATATTATATATACGTGTATATTTTTCATTTTTTACATAAGAAGAAGCTTATCCAACTGCAATGCTTCTTTTCCCTTCGTTGCTTTACTTATTGATTTTATCTATTTATTTTATTACTTACTTATTTGTGTATGGATGTGCGTTGCAAAAGCGTCCTACAAGAAACATACATCAAGCAAACGCATTGTATACGTTTAAAACTCGAATCTCAGGAAGGTTTACAAACAAACAGATACTGCCGTTGTGCAAGAGATGTAAAAAAAAAAAGGGTTTCATCTTGTATTGGACGACGGCCGGTATTTCAACAAGCTTTCAAGAAAAGCCATTTCCAGTGAATGCGCCGTTGCCCCTGGGGCTCCCCCCCCCCTCCTCCCCTGCCCCCTCTCTCGACCATTGTTCGCCGGACCGTAGCGGGAGGAGGACCCCCCGGCGAACGGCCTTACTCGATGTCGAACGCATACGCACACGCGCGCACTCGCATGCGGGATACGCACAGGCATACGGATACGCACACGTACGGATACGCACGCACACGCACACGCACACATACGCACACGCACGCACACGCACGCACACAGACACGCGCCGCGCGCGATTCCGATTGGGAAAAAGTCTAAAGTTTGTGTCTTTCTCAGCCTCTCGATCCCTCCTCTCGCCTTGCCTCTCCTCCGCTTTCTGTTCTCTTAGCTTCCCTCTAGTCTATTTTTTTTTCGATTTCCGGTCCTTCACTCCTCTCCAACCGCCTCCTCCTCTCCACTTCCTCCTGCTGCTCCTCCTCCTCCTATTTCTATTCCTCCTGCTGCTGCTCTTCCTACTCATTCTTCTCTTCCTCTTCCTTCTCTTCTTCTTCCTCCTCCTACTACTACTACACTGCCCCTCCTCCGCCTCCTCTTTCTCCCCCTCCTCCTCTTCCCCAGTTCTGTTTCTCTTCTCTCCATCCTCCATATATCGACTTCCTTTTCCGCCCGCCTTACATCTCCTCTCCCTTTTCTCCTCCCTCCCTCCTCCCTCCTCCTCCTCCTCTCCTCCTCCTCCTCCCTCCTCCTTCTTCTTCTTCCTTCTTCTTCTTCTTCTTCTTCTCCTCCCCTCCTTCTCCTCCCTCCTCCCCTCCCCCTCACCCTTCCCCCCAACACCCCTCCCCCCAACCTCCACTCCTCCTCCTCCCCTCCTTTCCCTCATCTCTCCCTCTCTTCTCTCTTCCCCATTTCTCTCCCCCTCCCCCGTTCTTCCCCCCTTTATCCGCCTCGCCCATCACCGTGAGGAGAACCTACACCCAAATTTTGTTAAGGGCGTGAGAGGGTGTAGTAATGCGATTGCTAAGAGGTTCTGAGACGACCCCCCACCCCCACCC